CCCAAGCTGCCCAGCGCTACAGCTCAGAGGAAGTGAGTCCGAGCACTGGTTCTTTATGAGAAACTGCCTGGGTCTCCAGTAGCCTTCGTATCACTCAGCCAATCCCTGCTGGTTTTTATAGCCCAAACTAGTGGCCCTGTGCACGAAATTTGTGCACAGATAGGGTCCCTACGCCTGGCTGATTATTAGGGCTGATCTATGGGGCAATTGGCAGGGCAATTGGGCGCCCCCTGCTGGCACCTGCCTTGGCTGGCCTGGTGGTGCCTGCTCACCGGCCCTGCCCCCCAATCGCTCTGCCGCCGGCCACCTCCCTCTGGGGGGTGACTGGGGTGGGGGAGGGCCCGCTGGCACCCACCTTGCCTGGTCTGGGGCCTGCGGTCTGGGAGCAGCTCCTGTGTTGAGTGTCTCCCTCCTGATGGTCAGTGTGCGTCATAATGACCGGTTGTTCCACCTGTCGTCCTGCTGTTCAATTGATTTGCATATTAGGCTTTTAATATATAGGATTCCCAGGTCTGGAACCCTGGGACCCCTTGCTTCTCTCAGGAGGCCTCTGCAGCCAAGATATCCCTCCCGATGAAAAAAATGCCAGATGTGGGTGTCCGATCAGCCCGTTCCGTGCCTCTGCCCCTCCCACCAGTGTTCATGTATTTTTTTTACTTATTTGTAGAAGTTCTATTCAGCCAGATTTCAGGCAGTTCTGAAGGATGATTGCTCTGTATTTTAGTTGTAATTTAGACGTGGTTGTGGGACGCTGTAACGTCATTTACCTATGCCACCATCTTGGTTCTATAAAAGTTTCTTATTGCTATTTAGTTCAGCAATTTTCACTTTTGGTAAAATGTTTAAGGTTTTTATATGTGTTTACATGTATTTTGAGAAATGACTTCAATATTTAAAGGGTCACATGAAAGGTTGATATATTGCCTGGCCTGCCTAGGAGCTAGGGAGGTTCAAATGCTCCTTGGTACCTACTGACCAGTTGGAGAGAAACTTGGAAAGTATTATGAGGATAGGGCGGATTCACAGGAGACCTTTGAGTTAGAGATTCTAAGGATTGGGGATTTTAGAGGGGTAATTACAGATAAGGAAGTACTGCATTGACAACTAAGTTTAAAGAAAGTCTCTAGTTCTTGGCAGGAGATTCCCATTGGGGAAAGGGAAAGGCAAAGCTAGTTTTTACAAACTAGGAGATGGGAAAGTTGCTTTATATGAGAAAGACTGGCAGAGGGATGGTGCTGAAGTGGCTTCCATCCATGAAGCTGGGCAGCTTGCTCACTTCAGGCTTGCTGATTCTGGTGGGGTGACAAGGATGGTTTGGTTAAAGGCTAGGAAGTACAAGAATATATGAGATATGGGGGGCTAGGGAGGCTGTAGTCTTGCTGGGGGCTGTTATAGTAAGGGGCCAAGAGGCATAAGCTTTGAGGATTGTGGCTTGTTCTGTCAATAGGGGGATCAACTAGGAGATGGAGCCCAGTCTCTTTAGATGCAACCAATGGCTAGAGAAACTGCCTTCTCAGGATGGCCTGTTCTGGCTCTTCACCCTCACGAGCTGGACTAGAGGAGACGACAAAGGGAAAGGGCAGTTATTTTTCCAGTGGGATTTGCTGGCAAAGTGACAAGTTTCCAACAAGAGCAAGACCAATGTAACTCATCATCAAAAATGAGGGTGGAAAGGGAGGTTTGAGAGAACAGAGCTTACCTGAGCACCCCACCCTACTCCTATGCCCTATCACCAACTGGTGCTGGGGATAGTAGGGAGGTTAGAGTCAAATATGAAATAGTTTAAAAGGGATAGGTGGACAGGACCAAGTCTCACTATCTGAAAGTGACTGAAAAGTTAGCATCTGACAGATGTCAGAGGGGCCTATGACTCAAATGGCCCACTGTTGCAATTAGTGGAAAGAACTGATTTGAAAGAACTGTTTTTAGGCAAGTTAACCAAATATTAATTCTGGGTTTATTAAAGAGCCAACATTCACTATTCATTTCTGAAAAATCAGTTTCCATAGTGACCTAATTGTACTTTATTTAATGCAACTTTAATGATGAGAAACATTTTACACATACAGTAGTCTTCCTTAGCTCCAGGGGATATGTTCCAAGACCTCCAGTAGGTGTCTAAGACTGGATGGTACCAAATTCTACCTATACTGTGTTTTCTCTATATACGTATCTATGATAAAGTTTAATTTACAAGTTAGAAACAGTAAGAAATTAACACCAATAATTAATAAAATATAACATGCTGGAATAAAAGCTATGTGAAAGTGATCTCTTAGCCAACTAGCACGAATTTCCTTTTCCTTCACAATTTCACAGACAGAAGATTCATTCTTACTGTAGATCTTAGTGACCTTAGCATATAATTTTTTTTCTTTCCTTACTGAGAACTGTCACCTTTTCACTTAAGGAAGCACTTTATTGCTTCTCTGTGGCACATTTGAATTATCAGCATCCTTTGTGCTTTTGGGCCGTTATGAAGTAAAGTAAAGGTTACTTGAAACACAAACACTGCAATCCTGACAGTCAACCTGATAACCAAGATGGCTGAGTGACTAACAGGGTGGTTGCATACACTGCTTTGCTGTGGGTGCACTGGGAGATTTGTGTCCTGTGCGTGATGGAGCAGGATAGCGATATTTCATCATGCTACGCAGAAGGCATGCACTTTGCATCTTATGAATTGTTTACTTCTGGAATTTTCCATTTAATATTTTTGGACTGTGGTTGACTGTGGGTAACTGAAACCATGGTAAGCAAAACTGCAGGTAAGGGGGGGCTATGGTAAGGGGGGACTATGAAATATTTACCCAATCTCAATCGATTAGAACATTGGGTGACACAAACATTTGACTAACGTTAATGTCGAAAAGAGGGTAAAACATTCACATAAGATAAAACCCTTTTATTTTATTGAAGTAAGATGAGTATTTCCTATTCCATGACTGTTTGAGACATCGAGGAGAGCTAGGTCCCGTATCTCCTCTAGAAGCATGTACAGGCTTCTTCCCTTGGTTTGGCAGTATTTTTGAAAATCTTCCTGAATGATGTTTCCTTTGAGTTCTTGGGCAAGCTGAGCTTCCTCCACAGATCGAGTTACTTCCTTCACTAAGTCACTCTTTAGCAAGAGGGAACTCTGATGAAGAAGTTCTGAATCTGGTATCATGTACGGTTTGTTGCTCATTATTTCAAGCCTGATTGTATCAGAATGGCATCGTGAGGCCTGTACGGATATTCTCACCTGTCACGGAGGATAAAATGCGTATTACTAAATCACATTCTTTGTTCTTTACACTGAAAGTAATATGTAATGTAAATACAAGACTTACTGTTACATGGTCAAACAAATGGAACGTAATGGATTCCCCTCCTGTTGTGGTAGAGGTGATTTTGTTCTGAAATCGTTGAAGGGATCCTGGCTTCCATTCAGAACGGCTGTCTGGCCCACATGAGATTACTAAGCCATCTTTATTTTTTAGGTAAGCAGCACCTTTAATCCCAAACCTGAATCATTGCCAGAATAAAAATCCAGAGATAATATATTCTTAGTATGCAGATCTAGAATACTTATCTAGAATGCTAGTTTTTCTTCTAAATTAAAAACAATTTTTCCTGTGACTTACCTCTAAATTTTTATTTCATTGATCAGATAGAAACAAAATACCTTGCTACATAAGTAAAATCCTATCCTAAGACTGATACAGATATACTAGATTCTAATCTTTTATACTTTTATAGTGTGTTATACAGGATGGGACAAAAGTAAGTTTACAGTTGTGAGTATGTGAAACATAGAGTTTATTCTTTTGTTATTTATTAATTACTAGAGGCCCGGTGCATAAAAACTCATGCACTGGAGGGCTCAGCCGGGCCTGCCCCCTCACAGTCTGGAAGCCCTCAGGGTCGGGAGGCAACCTGGCTATCAGGGGAAGGTGATGCCCCATCACACCTCTGCTGCTGCCACTGCCAGCAGTGCAAGACTCGGCCAGTCCTGGTTACCTGAGCCTCGGGCGGCCCTGGGCGGCTGAGGGAACAGAGGGTTTCCAGAGGCAGGTATCTTGGGGCTGTGGGTGCCGCCGTCTTTGAGGGCATGGCAATTAGCATATTCCCTTGCTAGCTGTGGGCACTGCCATATTTGAGGACGGGACAGTCAATTAGCATATTTCCTCCTTATTGGCTGTGGGCACTGCCATCTTTGCGATGGTGTGAGGGTCAATTAGCATAGTCACGCTTTATTAGATAGGATTGTATTATTTTCCATATGAATAACTGTAAACCTACCCTACCATGTATAATACATTATGTACATATGGTAACTATAAATAATTGCTAAAAGCCCGGCTGGCGTGACTCAGTGGTTGAGCATTGACCTATGAACCAGGAGGTCATAGTTTGATTCCCAGTCAGGGCACATGCCTGGGTTGTGGGCTTGATCTCCAGTGTGGGGCAGCCCATCAATGATTCTCTATCATCATTGCTGTTTCTATCTCTCACTCCCTCTCCCTTCCTTTCTGAAATCAATAAAAATATATTAAAAAAATAATAATTGCTAAAATAAATTATATCTAAAGTACTGTTTGTGTTCTATATTTTTAGTTTAACTATAATTTCTTAACAATTTTTATGTTAGACATAACATACCTTGGTATAAATACGAGCACTCCATTTGTTCTAATTGAATAAATAACCCCATCGGCTATGCAACGCTCCTCCGTTTCTTGGTCTTTGTCTTTAAAATACATGCACTGGAAGAGCTCAGTAGACTGCTTCTGAGAATGCTGTGCTGCCTGTAAGAAGCACAACCCCAAAGCATGATGAAGACTTCTCTGACATCCCAGACGAAACATGAAATTTATAGTCTCATAGGACCAAGGTCTTCAAACAAGCAAGGTCTGCCCCAGGCTGGAGCGTCATCCCATACACCACGAAGGTTGCGGGTTCGATTCCCGGTGGGGCCCATACCTAGTTTCAGGTTTGATCCCTGGTCCAGGTGCATGAAGGAGGCAACTGATTGATGTTTCTCTCGCATCAATTAAAAATTTTTAATTTAAATAGCCAACATGGCTGGTGGCTATAATACTGCAAAGCACAGAACTATAGAACATTGGATATAGAAAATTATATTAAACATTAAGGTAGTTTCTAATCTTATGTGTCACCAAATGGTCTACTTCTATGCTATGCAATATTGAAGCCACTAGCAACAATATGAAATAGAACACAAAACAGCTTCTAAAATAATGATGTAAGTATATTGACATGGTGTGCAAGCAATAACAGATGTTTTAAGTGGGAAAAAGCAGATTTCAAAACAACTGGTATGGTAAAATATTTTTATAAATAAGCATTATCTAAAATTGTTAATAATGGTTATCTCTGGATGGTAAGATGATAGATGATTTTTTACATTTCTACATTTTAGGGAAAAAAATCTAATGTTAAGTCTTCCAAATCCACATTATGTTATCTCAGGACATTTGTAAATGTATTAAGAGCTACTCAACAAGCTTTATAATTTTTCATGTGATTTCATTGGTTAGAATGATTCTAACATTTAATTTGCTAGAATATATGGTACTTCATTCTATTACACATAAAAGGTGATATTCTCGCCAAACCGGTTTGGCTCAGTGGATAGAGCGTCAGACTGCGGACTGAAGGGTCCCGGGTTCGATTCCGGTCAAGGGCATGTATCTTGGTTGTGGGCACAACCCCACTGGGAGGCATGTAGGAGGCAACTGATCGATCTCTCTCATCGATGTTTCTAACTCTCTGTCCCTCTCCCTTCTTCTCTGTAAAAAATCAATAAATAGATATATATATACATATATATATATATATGGTGATATTCTCTTAGCAAAGAGATACTGGGTGAAAGAAATTAAAACCCCTCTTACTCGGTTTCTATTGTTGATATGTCTGCATAATTCCTCAAGATCTTTGTTGCTGAACAAATTTTCCTTAACTTCCATTTTCTTATCTTTTGAAATGGCTGCCATTAACAATCGGTGTACTATGATATCTGCATATCTTCTTATTGGAGAGGTAAAGTGAGTGTATTTATCTAATGCAAGACCTTCAAAAAGAACCAAAAGATCAAAATAAACAACAAAAAGTACTTTTGAAAGAACCTGCTCAAGGTTAGGGCCACACAAGGAAAACTTTATCCTTCACCATAATGATGGAACTCCTCCTCTGCACAGGACCCAGTGGAGAAATAGAGTGCATTAGACATGGCCTGCGTAGCCATAGAGCGGAGCAGTCTGTTCACAATGGGATCGTTGGGGTCATTCGCGTTATCCAGAGAATCAGCCAGTGTCTTATTGGACCTGACAAAAAAAATGGAAAAACTTTTACTTAGTCCCCAGCAATGACTAACAAGCCAATACTCTGAGGGGAACGCCTCACTCATCAGTCTGTTTCTTTAGTAATAAAGAGTAATGTGGTGATACCTACAAGGTTAAATTAATGCTTGGCACATGGCAGGTGGTCAAATACTTGCTGAATTCCTAACACCCTTAACCTAAACATACTGTAGGTTAAAGAATGGACTTTTTCTTTTCTTTTTTTAATCCACACCTGAGGATATGTTTTCATTGATTCAAGAGAGGGAGGAAGGGAGAAGAAGAGGGGGAGGGAGAGAGAAACATCAATGTGAGAGAAACATTGATCAGTTGCCTCCTGTATATGCCCCAACTGGGGTTCGAACCTACAACTTGGGTATGTAACATGACCGGGAACCAAACCACCGGGAATCAAATGATGCTCCAACCACCTGAGCCAAACCGGCGAGGGCTGGACTTTTTCTTTTGTTTAAATCAAGAATTATGGAGCCAGATAGAGATAAAAAACTAAACTAAACTTGAGATACACAAATAAAAGAAACCTAAATTATTATTATTTAAAGAGAGCTAAATCATTCTATTTATTTTTAAAATACAGTATATTTTATTGATTTTTTTTTATGGAGAGGAAGGGAAAGGGATAAAGAGTTAGAAACATTGATGAGAGAGAAACATTGATCAGCTGCCTCCTGCACACCCCCCACCAGGGATGTGCCCACAACCAAGGTACATGCCCTTGACTGGAATCAAACCCGGGACCCTTCAGACCGCAGGCCGACGCTCTATCCACTGAGCCAAACAGGTTAGGGCTCATTCTATTTATTTACTCTCAAATACTTTTTAAAAATCCAGGAAATAGCCTAGATGGTGTGGCTCAGTGGTTGAGCGTTGACCCATGAACCAGGAAGTTATAATTTGATTCCTAGTCAGGGCACATGCCCTAATTGTGGGCTTGATTCCCCAGTAGGGGTTGTGCAGGAGGCAGCCAATCGATGTTTCAATCTTTCTATTCCTCTCCTTTCCTCTCTGTGAAATCAGTAAAAAATAATATTTTTTTAAAATTAAAAAAAAATCCCAGGAAATATAGGATTATACTAAAAATTTAATACTAGAGCATATAATTCAGTTCTGTATGTAGCCCACTAACAGAAAGGAGGGAAAGAAATGATGGAGAATGAGGAATAGGAAAGCAAAGCAATACAGTGAACAAAAGATACCACCAACTAAGATAGCGGCAAAAAAATCCATTGTGATTAATGAATAAAATTAGCACCTGTTACTTCAAAATAAAATACTGAAAAATCCTCTTATACATCATTTTTAACAGGGAAAGATTTTATCCCGGAGATAGGGAGTAAAAAGTCTCCGTCCATGGAGGCCTGGACTAATTTGCCATCAGTGTGGTGCCTTATGATACGCTGCATTTTTAAAGTAGTGAAATAAATGGAATAATTCTTTGGGATTTGCCTGAGGACTAGAAGAAATTGAATCAAGGTTCTTTACTTCTGCAATACAAGTTGTAGTGGGTCTAAATTATGCCTCAATAGACTTGTTTTAATTTTGAGGCTCTATACCTACATTTTAGTATTTGAAGAAAAAGCCAAGAAGTTTTCTATTTTTGGTCAACGATCTGGCTATCACATTTTAAGATCTACTGTAAGATAAGTAAGTGTACAACATTCCCGCCCATTCCTCTGCCCCCTCAAAAGAGGAATTACCGTGTATCTATGAAGAAGCCTTTTGCTTTAGCACATTCTCTTAACTCTGAGAAAAACTCCTGGTGTGGAGGAGGGTGTTGGCGCAACAAGGCCTGATGAGGAAAGCTCTCCCAGATCTTCTTGGCTACCCAGTGGTTGGCTAGGATCATGCATTCAGCCACCGTCTCATGGACTTCCAGGGGCTGCTTGGGGATGAGGTCACGAATGTTCTTCTTCTCATCCAGCTGCACTCGAACTTCTACCCCTTCCAGTTCCAGGGCACCACAGAGGTCTCGTTTAGCTCGCACATGGCGGGCGATGTCGGTCAGCTTTCCAATTGCCCACACTAACTCCTCTAGCTTGGCTTGTCTGCTCTTCTCATCCAAGTCTCTGAATTCCGGAATATCATCAATGATGTTAAAGTTTCCATCCAGTAGTTCCTGGGCTGCTTCATAAAACAGTTTGTATGATGATCGAATAATGGTTCTGCCATACCACACTTTCTTAATTTCATAGGAGGTCTTATCCAATTCCCACATGATGCTTACAGCATACCTACAAACCAGTAACACTGAGATGATTACTTAATTCTTCCATGTTTGAAGCAAGCAGAACTCAACTCTAAGTGTAACTTGAAATAAATGGCATTGCTACAAGTTTTTGGTCTGATGTCTCAACCTAAACACCCCACCACTAAATCAACGTTAGACTAGATTTTGTTGAGCTCTGAGCAAATCTGAAATGAGTTCACCTGTAATGTGAGAACTCCCCGCTTACAGCTTTCCATTTTAATCAGAATGGCACAGCACTGACAGAGGGAGTCAGGTCTGCTGGCTCTCTAGTAAAGAAGAGCTAAGCCTTTCAAATCCTACAGAATGACACTGGACTCTGACATCAGCCTTGATGGCAGGTAAATCAGCAAAAAGTTCATTTACTAAAGAACCACTCAGCTACCAAATCACTCTATTTAAAAATATGCAACATTTGCAACTCATAAAAAACAAAGGGCTAGCCTAGGTGGTGTTGGTAAGTGGTTAGAGTGCCGGATGGCACATCGAAGGATTTGGGGTTCGATTTCTGGTCAAGGGCACATACCTGGGTTGCAGGTTCAACCCCAGTCTTGGTTGAGGGCATGTGCTGGAGACAACCAATCAATGTGTTTCACATCAATGTTTTGCTCCCCCCACACCCCTGTTTTCCTCCCTCCTGCTCTCTCTAAAAAGCAAAGGAAAAAAATATCCTCACCAACCACCCCCCGAAAAAAAACAAAACAAAAAAAACTCCACCAAGCGCTATTTTCCCCCCAAGATACAAAAAGCTCTTATAAATCAATTACTAAATAGATCAAAAACTCAAAAAAGGGTAAAGAAACGTAATTAATTCACAGAAAGGGATATGTAAATGACTAATAAACATAAAAATGTTTCACTTTATTTGCAGTAGTTGAATTAAAATGCAAACTAAAACCACTCTAAAATACAATTTTCATCTATCAAATTGGAAAAGTTAAAAAAATTACAACATACTGTGTTGGCAAGGCTGTGGGGAAACAAACATTCTCATCCATAGATGGTGAGAATGTAATTGTTGTAACCTCTTATAGGGAAATTTGATTAAATCTATCTAACACAAATAATATACCTTTTAAAAATTTATTAAATATTTTTTAAAGGTTTGTTTTTTTAAAAATCTATTTTTATTTTTTTATTGATTTCAGAGAGGAAGGGAGAGGGAGAGAGATAGAAACATCAGTGATGAGAGAGAATGACTGATTGGCTGCCCTCTGCACACCCCACTCTGGGGGATCAAGCCCACAACCCAGGCATATGCCCTGACCAGGAATCGAACTGTGACCTCCTGGTTCATAGGTTGATGCTCAACTACTGGGCCACGCAGACCAGGTTACATATACCCTTTGACACAGAAATTCCACTTTAGAAATTTATCCTCCAGATACTGGAGGATAAATTAAAAATTTATCTTTTAAAAATATGAAATGACTTATGTTCCAAGTAATTCAGTACAGGTTTGTTCATTAATTATGGTATTGTTTTTCACACAAACAACAGTAAACCTACTTTTGCCCCACCCTATATATAACACCAATCACCATTTGTGTGAAAAAGGAAGACCACATGTCGCCCTAGCTGGTTTGGCTCAGTGGATTAAGGGTCCTAGGTTCGATTCCAGTCAAGAGCACATGCCTGGGTTGCAGGCTCAATCCCCAGTTGGGGGTGTGCACTGGTGGGGTCCCTCGGCCTGGCCTGCAGGGATCGGGCTGAAACTGGCTCTCTGACATCCCCCAAGGAGTCCCAGATTGCGAGAGGGCGGTTCTCAGGTGATGCACCCTGGAATTGGGCTCCCTCCTCTCTGGTTCTGGGTGCATCACCCGAGAACCACAGCTGCCAAGTCACTGTAGCTCGGCATTGCCTGCGTTGAGTGTCTGCCCCCTGGTGGTCAGTGGTGTCATAGCTACCAGTTGGATGGACCAATGGTCGCTTGGGCTTTTCTATATAAAGATTGGTAGCTAAGGGAAAGTGATAGGAGGGATTCTTTCACTAAATATGTTTTAGAAGTATAAATTTTGGACTACATGGCTTTATTACCTATTCAATAATAGATAGAAACTTTAACTACAAAAAAATAACACACCTTCCTAAGTTCATGCTCCTCATGCAAAACAGCCTCAACCAGGGACTACAAATGCACAAATGTTCCCAGACTTTAGCCAACATTAAAAAGCCAAAAAACAGAGGGAGAAATGGCCTCACAGGGAGAGAAGGAAGGGAAGAGAAGGCTGGAGAAACAAAGCTTTCTGAAAATAAGTGGTACCGAGTGGTGTAGAGGATACAGGGAGGAAGCAGGGGTGGGGCGTGGGGTGATAGAGCGTGTTAGAAATAAGAGGAGGAAGAGGCCAGAAGCAAGAGCACCAGGTGTCACACAGGTAAAAATGATGAATTCACCTATCAACGCCTCCCAGGAGGGAACACAAATCCGCGCTGAGGATGGAGGGCAGCATATCATAGCGTCGGTCTGCTAGATAGTAAGTGGTGGCCCTGTGAAAGACACACATACGGTACATGACCTTCAGCAGCAAGAAGCGGAACTGCTGACTGCATGGGTTGCTGTGAGGTAAACGGCCAAAATCTCAGTACAACTTCCCCAAGGCCGTTGTTTTTCCATAAAGTGCAGCCGACTGGGTAATAAAGCAATTCCCATGTTCCCACTTTTCTAAGCGATGCTGCTTCGGGCTGAGTATGCTTCCACTGATATAAAAAAGGAAAGAGAAAATGACATGACTCTTAGTTGTATAAAAAAAAATTAGAGTGTAATGATCCAGTATTTATATAAAATAGTATATTGCTATGAAAAATTTAACCCATTTCAATTTAGAAAGAAATAATGTGTGAAAAGGTTCTGTTACAAAAAGCAAGGTACATTGATCAAGGTACTATTTCTCTAAAGGGAAAAGGGGAAGTGTACCTCAACGTTTTCTTCTGGAAGCGATCTTCAGAACTGTAATAAACTGTGAAATCTATGTTTTGAAAATCTGAAACTAGCACAGTTACAAAATATGTCACAGTGACATACATGTAATCACACTGCTGATTTCAAATAGCATTACCTTGTCTTGGCTTCAATGTCAATGTAAGAATTTGGAGCCACAAAGTGTGTGACATCCGCAATGTGGACCCCGAGCTCCAGGTTGCCATTGTTCAAGGTTCTGACTGAGAGTGTGTCATCCACATCTTCACAACCTTTGGGGTCAATGCTGAATACAAGATGGGTTTTCCTCAAGTCTCTACGTTCTCGTTCCTCTTCAGGACTCACCTTCCAGGGATTTTCTGGTGTGTTTACTGGCATCTTACACATCTGTACAATGAGAGGCCAAATATTAATTCCCCAGCATACATTTCCTTTAAAAATCTACTCTGACAATCTCAATGTGACCTCATAGAAATCCCATTCATTACCTACTACCCTCTGCAATTGACCGGTGCTTGCTTCTTTTGATCAATAGTGATTTATTAGGTGCCTCATATGTGTCAGGAAATGTGCTAGGCTCTGAAAAGTCAGGAGTCAATAGAAAAAAACACAGTCCCCTTCCCGTGGGGACCCTCCCAGTCTGACAGGAATGTTCCACAACTTTTACCAGCCTCTTCAGTTATGGGGCTCGAGCAGAAATGAATGGGTGGCTTATATAAAGGGTACAGCCTCTACCCCATTTTCAAATGATCCATTTATTTAAATGTAGTTGAGCTTTTAATTCAAGTCAAACCCTGAAAAAAAATCAACATGTCCCAAATATTAAAAGCTTATTTTTTTAAAAAAAGGTATTCCTCTGACTGGCTTATTTCACTTAGCATAATGCTCTCCAGTCTCATCCATGCTGTTGCAAATGGTAAGAAAGATAAATACCACATGATCTCACTCATTTGTGGAATATAGTGAACAACATAGGCTGATGAAAAGGGATAGATCCAGAGACAGAGAAGCAGCGATAAGACTGTCAAACCTCAGAGGGAAAGTAGGGGAGGATGGGGGTAAGGGGAAGAGATCAACCAAAGGACTTGTATGCATGCATATAAGC